GGAGCAGACGACAAGCACCAACACCCGCCAAGCACAACGCGGGAAGAAACACAGAGAGGGGGAGAGAGAGAGAGAGAGAGAGAGAGAGAGAGAGAGAGAGAGAGAGGGTTTTACTTGTTCATCCCTCACTTCTCACCCAATTCCTGCATGCAGACCAATGTTGAGCAGAATGTTCTATACGGCTATTTGGTTAACAGAAGAAGAATTACAGACCTTGGTGCGCACCTGTTGATGTCGGGAGACACTCTGTGCAACTACTCGCCTCGGCTGTTCCCACGCCATGGCTCAGCAGACGCTACAGATAGGCTGACTATGCCTTCCAATCTCCTCTCTCTCCTTCCGAGAAGGTGCAAATGAATAGTCCTTAAACATATGTAAACATCATCATGTCCTGTATAATATAGCTTACTTACTCTTCATCGCCAACAATTATAACATTATTGTAGTATTATTACAATTATACAGTTTTATACTCAATTTATACTCAATTTGTAATGTAATATATTGTCAGCAGCCACCAACTGAGCAAAAGACCGCTGCGGTGAACTGTTTCGTTGGACTTTCACCAACTCGTCAGGAGGTTGGACCTCGACAGTCTGGCTCAGATCCCAACTTTACAGGTATGGCCATTACCACTGAGAGGATGCACCATCCTTTTTCCGATCGTTGCGGTGAGGGATGCATCTGCCACAGTGATGAATAGCACCGGCAGTGCTGAGCGCAGACTGTCGGGTCCGACGCGACGAGGTTGGCTTGTCTCTCTCGTCCCACCACCCTCACTGATTGCCCAAAGGCCAGAGAACATGTTCTAGCTAGCTACAGCCAAAACCAAATTCATCATAAACTGACATAAAGTATAAAAGCTCAAATTTGCCTTTTTCGTATGCATATATGTGACATCTTAACAATCAGATTCCAGGAAAACGATCCACGAACACGAAAACGAAAACGGCGAAATATCAAGGGTGAGAGTTGCTTGGTACAGTCAACTCCCCCCAGTCAGGGAAAGTTCCGCGCAAAAGGAAGATGCAAAAAGGAAACGAAAAGAAACAAGTTACGTCTTCAACAAGTACATATTCACCATGGTAAATATTCACGCGTCCCAACTAACCATGGCCATGAAATATAAGAGCATAGTCCATCTTTTAAGTAAAGTCCCGACGATATAACTTCAATTATTGGATCTCCTCCTCCTCCTCCTCCTCCTCCTCCTCCTCCTCCTCCTCTTCCTCCTCTTCCTCCTACCCCTCTTCGTCCTCCTCCTCCTCCTCCACCTCTTCCTCCTCTTTGGCCTTGTCCCCCTCCCCCCGCACCCTCCTGTACATACAAAGGTTCCCTCATATGGAGAGGTCATGACTAGCACACAATCCTAAACAACACCCATCGACTCCCTACCAGTTTCTTGCTTTTCCCCATTGCCTCCGGACAAAGAAAACACCTAACAGAAACAAATCCCCTAGGCCTGAGTCCTAAAAGCCCATTGACATTACCAACCCAACTCCGCGGTGCTGGGTCCAATTTACGTAAATAGTATATATCGTCAAACAGTATATATATTTATATATATACTGTCATATACATATATATCGTCAAACAGAGCTGCCCGGTAAACCGTAGGCAGAGAGGGAGAAGAAGAGGACAACAAACGAGGGGCTGTGACATATATATATATATATATTTATATTTATATTGTCCCCTGTCAATCCGAAGAGAATCTCACAAAAGTGACTGCCTCTTTTCGCCAGTCCCTCGCCGGATCGCGTCGATCAGCTCCTTGTCTAATCACAGCCAAAGGCTACTTTCAGGCATCTTTAGGCCAGTGCTTGGGGAATCCGTTCTTCCAACTCACTCTCCCGATCTTTTACAAGCCTTCAGAAACTTGTTCTCCTGGTACACACAGTTCCACTAAGCTATACTGACAATGCTCCGTTGCACCCAAGTAAAGGGACAAAAAGAAAGGCTAATCATTGATATCTCCTGGGATTGTACCACCACCAGCATGTACCGCAAGCTGCAGTTGTGGACGCTGACTCGACTCGTCTCGCCAATGCACTTCTACCGGGATATATGGCCGGAAGGTTGCTTGGAGAATCCGTTCTTCCAACTCACTCTCCCGATCTTTTACAAGCCTTCAGAAACTTGTTCTCCTGGTACACACAGTTCCACTAAGCTATACTGACAATGCTCCGTTGCACCCAAGTAAAGGGACAAAAAGAAAGGCTAATCATTGATATCTCCTGGGATTGTACCACCACCAGCATGTACCGCAAGCTGCAGTTGTTGACGCTGACTCGACTCGTCTCGCCAATGCACTTCTACCGGGATATATGGCCGGAAGGTTGCGTTTCTACACTTGGCAATTCCAAGCTCATAGAATTCCCCGCCCTCGATTCCGTTTTGTACGCTTCCTCCAAACTGCGTCGCACGCTTTTGATTGTCGGCCGCACACTTGAGCTCGCATTTAGACACTCCAGGGCCACCTCCACCACATTTTTCACAACATCGATCAAATATGAACCCTCTGGTAATCTTGGGTCGACAATATCTTTTAGATTCCCATCATTCTTCCGGTTCCTTACCTGCGCAGCAAAACAAGAAGATCACCAAGTCCAATTTGGAAAAAAAAACCATGAGCCCCCACCGCCAACCATGGGTCAAAATAAAATGAGTATGATCGTATCGGAAACGGTTTTCACCTTTGTGGTAGCAGTTGCACTTCCCAGAGCTCGATCCCCAGACCTCGCCCTTATCAGTCGACCCGTGTGTGCTTGAACCCGCGACCTGTGTCTTGAAAGTCGCCCGTTTGTTGCTGTAGGTAGGGTGGCCGTCGGGTCTTGGACCGTAGGTCTGTAGGATAGACGTCTTAGCAATAGTAGGAGTCGTAGCTGCTACAGTGTTGAAAGGTCAAGTCGTAGCTGCTACAGTACTGAAGGGTCAAGTCTGCCGTCTTCCGGAAGGTCCGGAACTGACCCTTCGGGAGTCCTAGTTGGCAGTCCATAGGCCAGTGGGCAAGTGGGCAGACTAACTCTGCCCAGTCAGCGGTACCCAGTTCCGGTCGCACTTTGTCAAGTCAGCAAGTACCATGTGGGACTGTGTGCACCCCGAGGCCAGGGTCCAAGGGCAGACCATTGACAATCCGAAGTATAAATCAAGAGGCAGCGTTAAGTCATTCATGGATTCTGCCTGTGAGCCATGCGGAAGTTCTGCCTGAGCGTCTTGTGCAAGGAGGTCTGCAGGTGCCCGTGGAGTAGAGGGCTAAGAGAAGGAAGATCGGCCATAGGTAGGAGAGAGAGACGACGGCCATAGCTGCCACGCCAGCCGTTAGCAGTGTTAGTGTGTGTGTAGAGAGGGAGAGTGTGTGTGTGTGTGTGTGTGTGTGTGTGTGTGTGTGTGTGTGTGTGTGTGTGTGTGTGTGCAGGACATCCAGGGCGATCCAGGGTGTGCGTACGAATAAGTTGCTGAGAGTGCAATTGTCGGCCATAGCCGAGCAAAGACAAGTTGAATCTGAGTTGTGTTCTTGACTTCATTATCTCTGAGCTTTGTGTGGGCACAAGGCGCCAGATTGATCGTCATCTGTTTGTACGCATGCGGAAAGTCGGGAAAGACGAGTCTGATTGCAGTATCCTTCAGTCCTGGCTACCAGAGATGAGCAACAGGTACACAGACCCACACCCACCTGCACCCATCCGACCCACAAGACCCCGCACTGGATGGGTGACATGCAGGTCAGTGTTTGGCCTGGGTAACCCGACTTGGTGGGTGACAGGTGGGTGTTTGGCCTGGGTCACCCGACGCACAAGACCCAGCACGATCCACAATGACGCTGCGTGCCTCC